ACCTAAGCATAAATGATATGCGAGCTGAAAGCTTTTTAAAAAAGAATTCCAACTCAGCGAATGGCAATTTTGGAATGTTCTTTTTTTAGATAAAAAAAGGGCGGGAAACTGTTTTCTTCAAGATGGATATTACTCCATAGCACGCATATTTTATATACATTATAAAATCATGATGATTCATGCACGCCTCAAATCGTTTTACCAATGCATAGAGATCTTTTTTACTTTTATGAAAATGAAAGTAAACTTATATTAACATTTATTAAAAATATGTACTGAAAATTGTAAACATTTGGTGAAATATTTTGTAACTTGAAGAATATTTTCGATTTCATGGATGTGGCTTACTATATTTTCCCCAATGAAAGCAACGCAAACAAACATAGAAGAAAAAGCTGGCAATATTTTCAACAACGAAAGTATTTTATTTTATAATTGTCGTTGAACTGCAGGCCCAATTTTCAGGTTTACGACTACTAATGTTCAACTTCGTAACCTTGTAATTTTGAGCCCAATCCAGAAGACAAGGAAATTTCTGAATCAGTACCCCCAGAGGTATGATTTGTTATGGGAACTTGGAGGATTTGTGACCCGACAGATTTAACGTGCATCAGTCACCATTTACAACACGTTGAGTCTTCAGCCGGTGGGAATCGAACCCACGACCCTACCAAACAAGCTGTCCCGGCCCTCAACAGCGAAAGTATTGTATATAACTTCTTATCACACTTATAAATGTTAGCAAATTCACTCGCGGTTTCATTTGGAATTATACTGGTAGCGAAGAGAATTAGCTAATGAATATTTTCTTCACTGACATGACAGTTAATTGGTTGACAGTTAACAGACATGACAGTTAACTCCATGACTTAGAAAACTTAGATTTAGATAACTTAGAAAATTAATAAACCATGACTTAGATAACTTAGAAAATGCATAATGTTCACAAGCATTATGAATTTATCGCTACAAGCATCAAGCATTATGAAGTTATCGCCCTGTTCCTGACCAACCAAAAATCGGCTTCATAACCAATGGTGGTTATGTAAAATGACACCATTGCTTATTTTGATGCATTTGCTATATTGCTTATATCTTATTTTGTGTCCAGTTCTTGATTTTCTCAAACATTTGTCTTTCGTCTTATGCATGTTTTTTCAACAAAAAAAATTCTTCTTGAGTCTATTATCATGTGCCTATGTTTCTAATATGGCCAATAAGTAATGTTTTGAACTAGTGAAAAGTTTCTGTGGTAGGGAATTAGAAATAAAAGAGTATAGAAAAATCCATTATTTTAAAAGAAAGAAAGTAAAAGTGTGTTTATGTTTTGCAATGTGTTCCAGAACTTAACTGATAAATATTTTTTGCACCAAAATTAATTTAATTTATCTTTGAAAAGCAAAAACAAATATTTTGTAGCTTTAATGGCACTCAACTGTTAATATAGTTTTTTCTAAGCAAGCGATTGTAAAAATGAAAAGCAATTGATTAAAAATACAGATTGGTTTAAAACTATTATCCTTCAGCTTGGTGCAAATAAAAATTATGAAAAATAAACTTTTACCATTATATTGGCAACTAGATCATGCATTCTCATTTATAAATAGTGATTTTAATTGCTTTTGATCAGCAAATTAAGAATGATTGAGATTTTTAATAATATTTTTTTGTCCTGGATGTTTGAAGGAAAACAAATATGATTTTGCTCCTAAGGAAAAGTTTAAACCAACACTTCAGGTAATTAATTCTCGAAGGAAACATTTACTAACATACATAATTAAAGTAAGTGAGTTTAAAGCTTTTCTTTTTTAGAATAAGAAAGAGTAACCAAAATAGTGAAGACTTCTACAAAAGACTTATAACCAGATATCGTATTAGTAAACATAACTATGCTCAAGACATTGTTTCAATAAGACTATATAAATATAAAAAAGTTATAAAAAAAAGTTAAAATAAAAAGTAATATTTTTAAAAACCACGTTTTTGTAGTGAAGAATAATAATTAAAAAACAAAAATTTGAAAAACGAAATACGTGGGGCTCATGAAATACATAACAGTAATGTTATACTAGTGTGTGTATGTGTGCTCATGAGAATATGTGTATGTATATCTGTAATTGTAATTGTATCTGAATGTGTATGTGTGTGTGGAATATGTTTGTGTATATGCATGTGTATGAGGATGTATCTATGGATGTGGATGTGCATGTGTATGAGTAAGAAAATCTATGTGCATGTGTATATGTACTGTTATGTATTTCATGCGCACCACGTTTTTCGTTTCTAAAATTTTTGTTTTTAACTGTTATTCTCCACTACAAAAACGTGGCTTTTAAAAATATTACTTTTTATTTTAATTTTTTTTGTTCTCACTTCCAAAATCTTAGTTTTTTTTTTACTCACTGTACACAAAACTTTTCAACTGACATGTGACACTAATTTGAAATAATCGAATCGATAACAAAAGACAATTGCGAAAATATTAATTTCTCTTTCATTTTAATTTTATTTTACTTTGTATGCCTTCTTTCTCTTCATTTTCATACATTGTCATCCAATTCTGAACTATGTGCCAAATTTGAAGTCTGTAGCTAGTTGGGAAGTTAGTTTAAAATCGATTACAAAATTCCACTGATACACGAAGGCAAGTTGATATAAACATGGTAAAAAAGGACAAAATTACATTGATAGCAAAATTTTTTTTAATTTTGTTTCTAAAAAAACATACTTATTTTAAAACCAACCATACATAAGGTTAATATACAACCTAGCCTAGTATCTAGCTTAGCCAATAATTTATAACAGCATAGCCAATTATATTGTCGCACTAGTGAACATCACATAAAAATACATTCCTTAATTGTGAACATGCTCAGACAAAAATGTTATCCAACATAAGTCAGTAACGTCATATTATGATTATTATACACTTATTTCTTAGCTTGTTTTTATCGGAATCGAAGAGGAAAAGTTAAGAGAGGGAAAAGTAACAGAAGCATCACCTTTTTTTCCCTTTTTATTTACCACTATCTCTCTGTCTCCCATGACAGGCCGATGTATTATAGAAGTGATGGGGGATATTAAGGGGGTAGATAGCCTATTATCCGCCCAAATATCCCTTTCCGAATCCACTGACCACAGCTGTGTGGCTACATCATCCCTTTTTACGCCTTTTTCTATTCGATTCTCCCTCTTCTTGCAATGATCATTTACTGACCGGCCGTCACACACACCACACTTCGATACACTCGCCAAAAATAATAATAATGATAAAAGTGGAGGAGAAAGGATACGGCTTTTTCACCTTATGGAATGGCAACAGGGACTGAAACCAAAATGAGAAACGGAATTTTTCGAGGCATTTTTGTGCATCGTTTTGGAACGTGTTAACCAGATTATAACGTTAGAGAAAAAGATTCGATTCGTTTGCTAATCAGGGAGGAAATGGTAATGACCATAATATGACTACAGTGAAAAAGATTCGAACCGTTTGTTAAACTGAGAGTGAATGGTAAATTCCATAATATGACATGAGTGAAAAAGATTCGAATCGTTTGTTAATCTAGGAGGAAATGGTAATTACCATAATATGACTATAGTGAAAAAGATTCGAATCATTTGTTAAACTGAGAGCGAATGGTAAAGACCATAATATGACATAAGTGAAAAGGATTCGAATTATTTATTAATCTGGCAATGAATTGTGATGACCAAAATGTAATATTAATGAATAAGATTAGAATCGTTTGCTAAATCTAAGGGAGAATAGCAATGATCATAAAAAATATTACTGAAAAGTCAAGTGTAGTGGGTAAGTGAATGGAGAACTAGAAACAATTGAGGGAAAAGTAGAAAGATATTGATATTGTTACTGATATGAAAAATAAAGTCGTTAGGTTACGTTCAGCAGATGAATGAAAACAGAGCTGGGAAACAGATCGTTGGTTTAAAACCTGATTAGTCTAAGCCACGTGGAAGACCAGAAAAAAAAGATCATTGGAGGATGTTGAAAAGAGACAAAGTAAGGAGCTGAATCTCAAAATCATCAAGAATGGATAGGACTGTCCTAGAACTTTCTTGAGTTCTTAAATGACTATAAGGCCAATGAGTATTGGTGGGACCATAATATCGTTGGAATTAGCTGAAACCTAAATATGGGGCTAAGTTGAGCTATAGTATCGTATTTTTTTAAACAACTCGATTTTATAGCTGAAAACATTATTCATATAATTATATTATATTATTATATAGAATGAAAACATTATTCAATTTGCAATTCATTATTAAGGTTGCAGCAAATTTTTATTATTATTAGAAATATCGGTATTATAGTTTAATGTTCAACCAACTTTATTTTCAAAAGTTACGTAATAATAGTACTTTAATCTCTTCAAGTTCTCCTCACGCTAACTTTCCTAAAATAACGGCGAAGAAACTTTTTCGTGATGTTAAAATAACCACAATAAAATTATTATGATAATTTCTTTTTAAACTTATACATGCTTAATAAATTAACTATTTCATGTTTTATCATTCAATTTGATAAGCAAAAGTGCCAGATCATGAAAATAGTTCTGTTATGTTATTCTAGCCGCAACTTTTCTCTTTAAAATAAATCAGATTTTAATTGAAAATTCTTATTCAGTACCATGAAAGAAATAAAAACTTGATGGAATCAATAAAAACCATAAAGTTTAAAAATTTATCGTGCAATAAAGCAAAAACGATTAGTTTTGAATTTGTTTCGTATTTAGTCGATTCAAAAAGAGTGTTAAGTGTAAAAGTGTCAAATAGTGCTAAGTTTTCTTATATTTTTAATAAAAACATATGAAAATACTTACAATTATTTTGGATATGCTCATTTCTGCCATATTCATGCATAAAAATAATTTTTAATCATCATTCATTCACATGTAAACCATCTATTCGATAAACTAAGTTACGGCAGATCAAAATAAGTAATAAATTTTTTTTTAAATGTAATAAAAAAAATTGTTTACCATGCAAATTCATTTGATCATTGTCGTATATCCATATATGTCCCAGTTGTAGTGATTCTGTTTATAAAGTTTAAGTCTTATCAAGATCTTTTTCTCCATAAACTGACCATACATATTCCTTTCACTGGTCAACCATCATCCATTTCGATTCATTTTGAAAATATCTGAAACATAAATCAGCATTTTTATTTCAATCAAAATAAAATATCGTTTATTAAGTGTGCTTCCATATAAAATGTATTAAGTGCACAGAGAGTACGAAAATATAATAAGTTCGCTAATATGTGCAATGAGAAAAAAAATTCTGGTAAAATTGCTGCACTGTATGACATTTCTGGTTTAAAAAACCATAATTCTGGTTAATAAAACTAAAATATACTGTATTTAAACCATTTTTCGGTATTTTTCAGTAAGATTTTACTGAAAATTCTGGTTCTTTATATTATAGTTCTTATTACCACACATTTAGTAAAAAAGAAAAAAAAGTGTGAATTTAACAGAATGAATATTTTTGAAGCCATGATCTAAGGTATCATGATAAAATTAGCTCGTTTTATCATATGTAATAAGACCATATTTGATTGCTAATTTTACCAAATTCTATACAAAAGCTCTTCAGTGAAAATTACAAAGATTTTTGTAGTACCATAGAGTAAGAAATATGGAAAATTTTATCATATTTTTGTACTTTTGACCATACTTTTATCCTCAGTGCTTCATATAAATATTTTAAAAAAAACTCATATTATTCTGCAATATGTATTTACTCATTGTAGTATAATAAAAATATTTTAACTTTGAATTCAATTTATAATTTTATGGTGCAATATATAATTCTAGGAACTTGAACTTTAAGATGAAAATGCAACTGCATATTTAGACTTAATTTATTTTCCCTATTTAACTATTCACCATTTTTTCACCATTCATTTCACTATTTCCCTATTTATTTTTACTATTAAGCTATTTATTTTACCATTTATTTTAAATTATTTTCCTATTTTTAGAACTAAACGCATACCAATAAAAACTTGTTATTATACACTTTGTAAGAAAAATTAAAAATTAGGATTTTTTTTATAATTTGAATGCAACTAATTTATTAGAGCCCTTTCATTTTTTGCTTGTTAGAGATTAGTCAATCAAAAACTATCTGTTTTAAAGCCTGTCAATCGAACCCATATTTTTTTTCTTCTAAATGCTTCAGATAAATAATAAATATGAGAAGTAACAATAAAATATCTATCCGCTTTCCGATTGCGATTACAACAAAAAATAAGAAATTCGAGCACAAAACATTGGAAACGCTAAGGAAATTGTAAACATAAAATCTATAAATCTTTCTAATTTTGATAATAAAAAAGAAAAGTATTTTTAGTAAGATCATGAAAATATCAACCTGCTTTTAATTACAATCGGAATGAAGAAAACAACTATTACAAGCATCTAACATTGAAATAGCCGATAATCTTACAAACATAAAATCTATAAATCATTAAGGAAGTCGATCTATCAATATGAAATCGATCAATTAAAAGAAGGACATCTCTATTATTCATTAAATATATATTTATTAAATATATAGAGAGGAAAAGGAAAGAAATATTCAAGATCTATTACATTTGTTATTAGCGGTTAATTGTTATTCAATTTTATCTGTAATAATAATGATTACCTCTTGGATCTCCAAATTCGTACCACAGGATGATAAATTCAGTTAATATTAAAGCTGAGTATTTAATAGAAAGTATTTACTTTTTAACAAAAAATCCATTAATTCAGAACAAAGGGTCATTTAAAGATTTTACTTTTACCACTGAAAGAAATCTACGATTGAATTGAGATTTTCTTTTGTTGCAACACTAAAGAGCAAGTCCTCATAGAACATTTGAACACTGAGACTTTTTTTTTACATCAAAAGCAACCCCTGTTCGCATAAAATTGAGTTTTCGAAAGAACCCCAGTTTTAAAATTAAATTTGCAGACCCTATTCGCGGTGCGGCTGTTTTATTTTACTGGCGGTAAAATTAAAAACAGACAGCCGACCGCACGACTGCTCGCTAATTTAAGGGATGCTTTTTATTTAAAAAAAAAATGTTGAATAGGGGTTTAGAATCGATGGAGCTTCTGAAGTTCGAATTTGAGAGATAGAGACAATTGTATTTGTTCTGAGTTACTTATGACAAAAACAGTGTTTAAAATGTATCTAGATTATTATAACTTGATTAATCACATTAAAAAAAAGTTTTTTTTAATATGTGATAAAATATTGTCTTATTTAAGATATAGCACATCTCAAAAACTACTTGATATTCAATAATTCTTTAAATGTATTTTTTTTTCTATAAAAGTTTCATTCTGATCTTGATACAGATATTAAAAATACTTTGTATATATATATATATATATATAAANACTTTGTATACACGATATTTTGTCACGTGCAGTCCTACCCAAATGATATTCAGTTCATCCCAAATTCGATTCATGCGAGTCTTTGTCCATACGAGATTCGGCTTATTCAAAATTTGATTCATGCGAGATTTTGTCTTACAAAAATTAGTACTTTTTAGATTCTTCCCACCGTGATGCTCTATTTTTTTCATTCAATATTTTATTCATACTTATTTACACGATACCTAACGATTCGAGCGAGATTTTGGTTTCACAATATTTTATCTAGCCGATGCATTATGTACGCAAGACTTTGCCCGAGCGAGATTCCCTCCATCCGAGATTTGATTCATGCGAAAGTTTATCTGCACCTGAATTTGTACTTTTTAAGTTCCAATGCACTATTCACTAAGCATTTTGTACATTTAATTTTCGATCCCTACTTATTTAGACTAAAAATAACCCAATTAAAATTATTTATCAGGTAGAAAATAGTTATATTAAAAAAATTAATATTTAATTCTCTTTTAGATTTTAGTTATGCATGGGTATTTGATCGCATTCCCGAATACATCATCATTATATAATTCAAGATTTGCTATTCTTTTATTTCTATAAACACATGGCTGATAAACCTTACATAAAAACTTTCAAGTAAAAACAGTTTAGGTGCTTTAATATATTTACTAAGCAATAAAACTGTTCATACGTATATCCATTTTTATTATTCTGCTAGATTAAATAAAAAAAAAATTAAAAAAACTAATGGAAACAAATTGCATCAAAATGCTTCTTAAGTATATGATTCAAGACGATCATATTTACAAAGAATTATTATTTTTAAATCCTTTTTGTCCATTAAGACCTTTAACGATGCCACATATATGCTATAAAAACAGATATTGCTAAGGTTGTTGTTCTCAGTTTCCCGTAAAACGTGTTATTTCCATAATTTGATCGAATTATAAACGAGTGTTTCAAATGATTATCGATCTTTATCTTAATTGGCATCTGGCATGCGAGCAAAATTAATGACGCGCGTGCAATGGAAATTTCATTTATCATACGCCTCGTTTCCTCAGAAGTCAAATTCAGAAATCGTTTAAATTTATGTACAAGTTTTTTTCGTGGATTTTTTTAATCGATCGTAATGTCAGGCTCCTTAAGTATTAAGAAGCGTATTTTTTATCTACGAAATTCGACTAAAAAAACAACGCACAAATTATTAATATCATTTTTATACTCGTTTAATGAGATAAGGCTATCGATTAACTATTACCAATTTAAAGAGCAGATCTCATGTATCAAGAAATTTTCAATTCTGAATTAGAAATTGCTTTTTTGATAGAGAAAAGATATACTTTTAGAAAGACAATGTTGATTATAAATAATTTTGACTTAATTTGATGGAATAAAAGCAATTTTTTCAATTTGAATATTTATTGACGTCTACGTTTTTGGTTTAACATTTAATAATTTAAGGATTATTTATATGATTTATTATGTATTTACTGCATTTAAACATTATTTTTATGCATTTATATTCCATGTTTCTATAATATATTTTAGATTTTTGAAAGAAAATTGTTGCTAGTAATTCTTATTTATAGCACATAATTCAAACATAATAATACTCATAATGGACAGATATAATTACCGTGATTAAACACTGCAAGAAATTTTGAGACAAATTACAGTTAAAATTTTGATACCCGAAGTGCATTATCCGTAAAATACATTTTATGGTAAAATCCATTTTTATCGTAAAATTTTGTACTGTAATTTTCACAGTAATATTTATTTAATTACAGTTATTCAGTGAACTAACAGCGAATATTGCAGTAAAAGTTACGGCGTATCAGATAGTTTATTCCGTTTAAATTTTGTGGCAAATATGAATTTTACGGTAAAAAACTTAAACTTAAAATACACAATATATTTGAAGATTTTATATCAATCTCTAGTTGTATCAGAACATGCTGAAACTTATTTATTTTTAATGTTCTAATGTCAGATAAAAATATGCGATTTTGCCTTTATCCTACTTGGCAATTCTGCCCGAAAAAACAAAAAGTAAATATATGACATTTCTACTTGATTATTTACTATTGTATTAAACTATGTTTAAGTTTTTATTTTATTGTATTTTTCTTTTACATTCAGAACGTTTGCCAACTTTAGATTTGTTTACTTATAAATCAATAAAAACAATGCACATCAATTCACATTTTCGCGTATATTTTACAGATTATTTCTGAAATAACATCCGCTTAATATCAATATTATATGCATGCTTAAATTCTCTTATTCTTATTCATTTCCTTTTATTGGAGAACATCTCAAAAATTTTCTAAAATTTTCACACAAGGCATTCTTCTTTTAAAAGAAAACATAATAGAATAAGAAATATAATTTAAATTTACCGCTGTAATTTAGTTACGCCTTTGACTGAATAAATTTGGAGCTTAAATTCCTTGTAAGCTACATAATGCTAGGCTAAGAACATTTTCCCCTCATAGACCCCTTATATAAATGAATAAAATAACGGAATATTTTTAAGAACATTTCATTATATGATTATCGGTATTTTTTATTAAGTATAAGTATCTTTTTATTAACACTAGCTTGCCCAAGGAAGTAATTACGACAGCTTTTTAATTTCAATTAGAAAAACAAAGATGACACAATGTCTTAGAATTTTGTGACTTTTTGTACAACATATAATTTTTTTATCGTTAATATTTACTAATAACTTGTTATATAACTGAAAATAATATCAAACATATTAAACAATAATTTTATTCAAATTTGTTTATACATTAGTTATTCTTTCACAATGCAGTCATTTTGATTGCTTTTGGGCAATATAGGTATTTCAGTCTTTCTAGTGTTAAAAAAACATTTCTATGATTCAGGGTTGCCACAGAGAAAAAGGAACAAAATAGTTGCTTTTAGTAGCCTAGAGCATGAAAATAGTTGCTTAAATAAGAACAAAAATAAGACTAAAATTTTATTAAATGACTTAATTCTCATATACCATGATCCATTTAGTCAAGTTGATGGCAAATATGACAATTTTTATATAAATGTTAGTGTTCTAGCACTAAATTTTATATAAAAAAAATTAGTATATTTGCAGAAAATTAAATACTGTTAATTTCTAGAATTCATTCAAAAAATACTTTTTCATGAAAAAAAACACACTTATTCTAAGAAATTTTCCCTTTTACCAATAATTGATTTAACAAATATATATATATATATATATATATATTATGAAAAGTGATTACTGAAATTCAAAATTCATGCATCGTAATATCGCATTAAAAATTGGGTTTGGGCAGAATTTCTTAGCAAAAACTGTTGAAAAGGCTATCGAGAAACAAAATAGACTTACGATAGAATCTGTGCAATTTGAAAGCATTTAAAAGTGATGACTCAAATTTGCAATCTAAATTTTTAATTTTGAATGTTTTATTTATTTAATTTTTTTTTATTTTATTATTTTTATTTTACATTTTCTATTTTTTAAGAAAAGAAAATCAGTGTGTTCAGAAGATTTCGACGGCTGCAGGTTTTCAACCCAATTTCTGATAAAAAAAAAAAAAAAAAAAAATAAAAAAAAAAAAAAAAAAA